ACAAATGAAGTAAGTAATAATGAACACATGCACCTAGTCACCAGTGGCGAATTTCAAGAGTTTGATACAAATACAAATGAATAAATGATTGATGAGGAGGATGAAGAATCTCAAGAGTTTGAAGATAATATGATGATAGAGATTAACTTGATTATTTTAACCCTTCATCTAGTAATGAACCCAAACTTGATTCATAAGAAGCTTACATGATATTCTACACTTTAATTTATTTGCAATCTATCATATAATATGTCTACTTAAAATTATCTGCTATCATATGGTATGTCAATTTTAAATTATTCATATGATCGTTCTTCTTCTCTTCTCTTAAACACTTGGTGTGTGTGTGTGTGTGTATATATATATATATATATATATATAAACGTCCCAAAAATACCGAGTACAATTTTCATTTTTTAAATAAGTCAAACCATTCATTTATTATCTCAAAGACAATCAGAATAAAAGTATTCTAAAAAGAGGCAGAGTAATTCGTAAACATTCAGTACAAAATAAATCTCTAGGGGATGCAGTGCGATCAAGCCGGACCCTTCCTTTTGAAACAGAAGTACCTTAAAAACATTTTAAACATAAACCGTAAGAACAAAGCTTAGTGACCTCCCCAAAATACCACATGTCATACATATTAGTGGGTCCATCCCTAGGGTATATTCCAACCCAACATATAATCATGGGCCCATCCCTGGGGTATATTACAACCCAACATATAATGTGTTGGATAAGGTGTCTAAGTCCATAACTATATTTAGTATGTACTTGACCCGGCTTGGCATGATCCATTTGGGTTGCATCGACATCTCAACTGTTGGATAGAAAAATGAGAAAAGGACACTTACGATTTGTTAATATATATTAAGTTCTAATATATTAATATGAATTCATATTATTTAATTAGTATTGATCAAGAATTAATTTGGAATTAATTCTGTGATAAAAAAGAGACTAATTAAATATATGAGGATTGATTTGTAAATCATTCATTCCTATGTAGTGGGCTCATGGTTCATGATTCACTAAATTGGGCTAGGACCCATTAGGTTCTCCATGGAGGTTATAACCCATGGATCATGGAGGAAATAAAAATCTATGCACATTAGGGTTAACATGGTGTAACCCTACATGTGGCACACTATATAAAGAGCTCCATAGCTAGCAAAATCGGGACTATTACAAGACAAGGAGGGCTAGCTGATTTTTTGATCAAAGCGTTCTTCTCTCAAGTTATTCCAAGAGTTGTGGTGTTGTGTGAAACATTTGACGCATCACATTTGAGGTGCTAGGCTCACAAAGTCTTAAGGAATCCAAGCAACTACAAAGGTGTGCCATTCTACTAGTTTTTATATTACAAGTACCCCATTCCATGTTAGTTAGGATGTAAACCTTGCAAAAATTCTTATTTGAATGAATATTAGAGAAAACATAGATCCAAGGTTTCTAGGGTTGCATGTACACCTTAGGAACCCATCATAATGATGGGCCTAGCACTGGGGTATGTTTCAACCCAATACATATCAATAATGGGCCCAACACCACGAGTAATATATTCCATAGATCTAGGAAGTGGTGGTGATTTGGGAACCTTGCATGAAATCTAAGTTATTTTTGCATATTTGACCTAGATTTGGGAAAGGACATGCATGGGGTATACATGTCCATATTACATTTTTAGGGTTTATTAGGACCCCTATTGTGCTTCTAGGAGTTTTGGTTCGAAGATTTCTCGGATTAAGTGCTTAATGGTCTAGTCCCAATTGTAAAGTTACCCCTGTAGACTTTGGAATTTAGATCTAGACTTAAAGGGGTGTCCTAAGGGATTAAGTTGGAAACTTTATCCATTTAGACCATGGAATGGACCAGATCTGAGCTTTGAAGCTCTTGGATTCGAAGAAAACGGCTGAATCCACATATAGATGTGGGTTCAACACAACCAAATAACACCGTCTAACCACATAACCATCTTCATCACCGTTAGATTAGATTAATATTTAAAGGGTATGATGGTAAAAAGAGTTCATGTTCATATATGAACATATGCTCATAAATGAGCATATGCTCATAAATGAGCATATGCTCATAAATGAACATATATGTTCATAAATAAACATAAGTTCATATTTACAAATGAAACATATAAACAATTAAAAAACAAAATATATACCCATTAGGATTATATTCCTAGTAAGATCATATCTACATCAACATAAACATATGTTCATATATGAACATATGTTCATAAATCAACATAAGTTCAAATTCATCATACTTACAAAACCACTAGCTAGGGTTGACTCAAGACAACCGAATTCAATGGTTGAACCGATAATTTATGCACAAGAAGATATAGAAAATATAAGAACAAAATAGGACCATATTCATATTAATATGAAGATATATGCACTCTGTTTACTATATAAATGAGCCCCAGAGCTTCCAATGATGCCAAATTCTCCATAACTCGTCTTTAACCATCAAAATAATAACGTCTTCCTTTTGTTTTACCCATGCCAATCATCATCTTGTTGGAAATCCTTGGCCACAAATTAGTACACCCCTTCCCAAATGGTCCATGTCCTACATTCAACATACAATTAACCAATGAGGTTATAATTAAATAACAAAATGATTCATTGGGATAGAGTTTCTTGCAAAAATACCTTTCATTTCTCCCTTGGGATTGAAAATAATACCAACATTATCTACATTAAACAACAACAAAGGTTCATGAAAACAATCATCAAGAAGATTGTATTTCTATTCCTAAGTAGTTGGTGCTTTAATTTTAATAAAACAAAGATATGAATTTAAATAGTTCCAAGCATATATCAATTACTCAGTAAACACAACTGCACATATTGGTATTAAACTATAACTCACGTGTACATATTTTACCCAGTCAAATTTTGTTGTAGATCTCCATCAATATCTTCCGTATATATCTCCTATTAGTTGCACTCTATTGTATTATAAATAGGATCTTTGTTTACTTGTATACATAATAAAAAACACGAGTTCTCCTTCTTCCTCTGTGCTCTCTGTTATCTTCATATGGTATCAGTCTGTTATCTTCATAATTGGGACCAATCCCCTCTCAAAGCATCAATTAAATGTCCTTAACCTCCAGTTGGATTTTTTGTATCCACAACAAATATACATATCATTACACTTATTTCCCTTTAATTCCATTTGTTTATAACATAAACAACATATTAACTTCAATAATTATTTAACTTACTCATTTAACTATATGAATTCAAAAACTACACAACTTTGACTAAATTAGGTCAAAATCACATTTTAGTTCAACATTGATCTTAGCTTATTATTAAAGTTACTCAATATCTTGCATAAAACTTCAATAACAGTACAATTTCATTATTAGTAACTTATACTTTATCAATTTATCAGTTGAGGAACATACCTCAAATTTCGAGCAACATAGAACTTTAACTGACTCCTTTATAATATTCTTACTTTGAAATCAACTTATTGTTTCAAGATTATACTTCAATAATTATTTAACTTACTCAGTTGAGGAACTTATTGTTTAAAGACCGATAACATATCCTCGGATTTGGCTTCTGATACAAGAAATTAGGGTCTTTACCAACACATATTTTACCCACATATATTAATGTGTGTTATCCTCGGATTTGGCTTCTGATACAAGAAATTAGGGTCTTTACTAACACATATTTTACCCACATATATTAATGTGTTGGTAAGTATCTACACATTGTTTTATATGTGTGGGTAATCGACAAAAAATACTTTTTAATAACAATTGACATTTAATATATATAGGTAATACTTTTTACTAACACTTTATTATGGTGGGAAAATTTCCCTCCAAAATTTATGTTTGACGGCAAGTAAAATTACCTACACATATGACAAATTATATTAATGTGTTGGTAAATCACCAACACAATCTTAAAAATTGGATGTATGTGTTGGTAATTTATTGAGCCTTACCTACACATAAGAGCACAGGGTATGGGTTATCTCATTCTCGTTATTTCTGACGTGGACAGGCCTTAACAGCGTGGTAACGAGGGGAACCCCCCCTTCTCGTTTCTTCTCGTTGTGGCATGCATCGTTGTAACGAGAATGGGCCAAAACGCCATTTTCCACCAATCAGATTTCTTTCTTTTCTTTATCTCTCTCTTTCTTAACACATTTTCTAACATTGAACACCATTTCCTATCTAAATGATGTGGTGTTAAGGGTGATGTGTCATGGTGAGGTGTCAATTTTTTGGTGTTATAACACCCAACCATACCCACAGTTCTAATACTTATATACAAATGTGTAGGTAAATGTATCGAAAACGTTTTAAACTTTTTTTTATTGAAAATGAGGTGGCAAGTAAAATACCCACAGATAAATAAAAACTATATGTATGTGTGGGTAATCCTTTATTTACCAATACATATTTTCTACATATAAATGTGTAGCTAAAATAAAACAAATATTTTTTTAAAGAATTGACGTTGATTGTCTAATCATATATACAAGTTAAATTATGTATGCGTAATTCATTAATTTTGACCAAAACATAATATTAATTTACAAAGGTATAGCTAAACATAATAAATGTTAAAAACATCTAATATATATTTAAATATGTGGATAAAAGTATCTTGAAATGTAATACATGTCTACTGCTTATGATTACACGTACATTATTAATTAATCAAAAATATATAACGATAAAAAAGTTTTGATTTTTTAAATATAAAGAAATACTGTATGCAATAAAAATATAATTAAAAAAGAAAAAAAAAACATATTAGAATTACAAAATAACTTTGACAGTGTTGAAAATTGAAACATATGTTTCTAAAATATAAAGGGAATTGGGATAATGATTAAGGTAAGATACGTGCCTAACTAGGCATAATTTGGGTTGATCCCATCCTACCTTCACGATGGCGCCATTTTGAATTGGGGCGTAATCTCTTCCGAAATCTACGAACATCATGGGATTTATAGAGGAAAACGGTTCTACGAACATCATGGGATTTATAGAGGAAAACGGTTCTACGAACATCATGGGATTTGTACTTGTAAATTCTTAGGCATTGTGCTTACCCATTGCAACCCGTAATAAATGTACATTAGTTGGTAACTAATGGGTTTTACTTTACTTTCCTTATGTTTTGTGCTAACAGGAAGAAATGATGAAGCTGAGAAACGAGCATACATTTAACTCAATGAGCAACAATTCAATTCTAGAAAATGTACTTGGACGAATCTCTGTTCGTTTGTCAGGGTGGGGACGTGATCCTGTTGTTGTTAGTAACACAAGTAATACTAAGAATTCAAAGCGCCCTACTTACAATGAATTATTGGATGATGTTCGAAAGATGAAAAAAAGATGTGCAATTATGGAACAAAAGATGATTGAGAAAAATATCATGCCTCTTTCGTTAAGTATATTATCGGGGCAATCTGAAAATGATACATCCGACTGTGATACATCTACCCACACCCCGTCTGGACAGTCTCATGGTGAGAATATTGATGAGTTTGATCATATGGAATGAATATTCAAGGATGTTTAGTACTTTTATTATACTCGTAGCTACTTACAACTAGTATTTTATTTTAGTTATTTCAAGTTTTTTTTTAGTACTTGGTTTTTGATTTGTGGTTTGAAGTTTTATGTTATAACTTTATTTTAATTACGTATAGTTTTGCCCTGATATGTTCCTATTTACAATAACACAGTTTGTATTTCTTTTCTACATACTGAATCACGATTACCTACATATATTGTGGTTAATGCCTACATATAATTATATTTTTACCAACACATCTATAGTTTTTCCTACACTTATAAAAGTTATAATCACACAACTATCAAATTTACCTACACATAAAAATGACTTTACCCACACATATTTTATGACATGTGGCACTAACACTTTGTAGGGGTATGCCACCATCCATGTCCTCAATGCACATTATGTCATCGTCTATGTCATCGACCACGTCAGATACCACGTCATCTTTCCCAAAACATCATATAAGACCTTTACCCACACATACTTAATATTTTTACACACACATACATGTGTAGGTATTCCTTATTCTATGCCTACACATCACCTATGTGTATAGGTAAATATCTATATCTACAGTCATGAGCCAACACATGATAACACTTAATTTATGTGTAGATATTGATAATTTCCAACACATAAGTGGCTTTTACCATCACA